GGGGTCTCATAACAATGTATGTTAAAAAAAAAATTCTGTATGGGAGACTAACTTGAAATGTAAACTTCATTTAAGTACATCGATAAAAAAAAAAAAAGTGTGTGTTTGTGTGATAATATAACTCATACACGTTCTTTCTGGAAATTTAGGAAAACGTAAAATCAAGAATAAAGGAGAAAATCAAAGCCACTCATAGGCTACTCCGGTTACTGTTTTGGTACGGCTTCTTCCAGCATCTCTTCAGTCTGTGAATGCACACCAGCACATTTTGACCTCAGACAATTGTGAGGGGAACCCTAGAGCGAGGTTCTCTACCTTGTTTTGGGGGCACAGACAGTGCTGTATCTGAACCTCTGTAAGGAGTTTATTAGACTGTTTGCAAAAGCATGAATGTCCCCAAGAAAAATGACAGGGGGACAGCCGGAAGACGAAGGCAGCACAGGTGCCATTTCCAGAGAACATCAGTGTTGGCCCCAACTGATGGGTGTTAAGGTGTTTCTCTGATCTTGTGCACAGCCAAATTTAAACCCCTAGTGTAAGGCTCTTCTCCTTTAGAAAGAATGGTTAGGAAAATGCTGCAGCCAGGCCAGGCCTAGAATAAGTAGAAGCTTGCCTTGCCTTCAGTACTCCAAGAAAGAAGGCATTCAAGAAGGAAAATAGAGAGATGTGGTGGCTTCAGTTTCCACCTCAGTGACTCGGCTCAGGCATGTAGCAGTTCAGGGTATGAGTTTAACACTTCTATTTTTGGAAGCTGTTCTAAAGCCTCTCTGTAACTGAGAACAAGGTCACGCTGCGCTTAGTCCTTATCCCTCATTCTCTGCAAATCACCTTATTGCTCCACGGGGCTCAAATCTGGTTTGTGTTAGAGATGTCCCTTGTAGAATTCAGGCTGGCACTAATGATACTCTCAGAGAGAAACAGGCGTAAGTACAATTTAAAGAATCTTCGCTCTTTTCTCACCAACTAGAATAGAATGTTGCTTGCTTAAAAAGGAAAACAAAAAGAGCAAAGCATTCAAAGATTCAAGAGATAGATGCAAAATAAGAATGTAAAAAGGAAGACTTTTTTAATCCCTGATGTCTTATAACTGGATTGATGTCTATTCAGTTATGTTCAGAACACTTTCGTATTAAGCATCCTTTATTGTGTGTTTACTCTTTGAAAATTAGTGACTGTGGTGTCAGTATTTATAATGATTCTATTTACCCACAATATTTAATTAGCATTCCTCTGCCATGATGAATAACCAAGAATGCATATGGACAGCAGAGTAAGAGACTGTGTTTGGCACAATGGCTTTAATGTTCCTATTTTATTGAATAGATTACTTAGTGAATTTTTGTTGTAAACCCCCATTTTTATTTTTCAACTCGTTTGCAAATAAGATTGGTGGGGAGGTTCATGGAAAAGTGTAGAGAGTTAAGACTAAGTCAACTGGCATAACAACGTTTATTAAGAAAATGTTCTGCATCCCACTCTGGTGAGGGGCGTCTGGGGTCTTAAAAGCTAGCGAGCAGACATCTAAGATGCATCAATTGGTCCCAACCCACCTGGAGCAAAGGAGAATGAGGAACACCAAAGACACAAGGAAAATACTAGCCCAAGAGACAGAAAGGGCCACATAACGCAGAGACTCCTTCAGCCTGAGACCAGAAGAACTAGATGGTACCTGGCTACCATAATGACGGTCCAGACAGGGAACACACCAGCAAGTCCCTGATGGAGCAGGAGAAAGGTGGGGTGCAGAACTCAAATTCTAGTAAAAAGACTAGACATAATGGTTTGATTGAGACTGGAGGGACCCCGGAAGACATGGCCCCCGGACTATCTGTTAGCCCAAAAGTAAAACCATTCCTGAAGCCAACTCTTCAGACAAAGATTAGACTAGACTATAAGACATAAAATGATACTCGTGAAGAGTGTGCTTCTTAGCTCAAGTAGATACATGAGACTAAATGGGCAGCTCCTGTCCAGAGGTGAGATGAGAAGGCAGAGAGGGTCAGGAGTTGGTTGAATGGACACAGGAAATCAGGGGTGGAAAGGAGGAGTGTGCTGTCACAGTATAGGGAGAGCAACTAGGGTCACATAACAATGTGTGTATAAAGTTTTGTAGGAGAAACTAACTTGAGCTGTAAACCTTCACGTAAAGCACAATAAAAAAATAAACAAACAAAACTTGGCAATAGCCTAAATGTCATCACTGGGGAACCAGTTAGGTAAACCATGGCCCATCCATACGGAAGACTGTCTTGCCACCATTAAAAAGAGTACAGTAAATCTGTTCGAGGTGGTATGAAAAGTGGTCCAGGGACATTTGTAAAGTGAACAGAAAAAAACAAAAAACTTTCAGAACAGTGTTATAATTTGATGCTGTTTGTAAAATAAGTAAATGTGTGTCTGTGTTTATATAGATATATAAAAAGTACAGGAGCCATAGCAAACTGTTTGACAGTAATTGGTTATCTCTGGACAGTTTTATGGGGCGGGCAACTTTCAGTTCTTTCTTTACACGTGTTTATAATGTTCAGATTTATCGCTAGCATCTTCATAACCAAAAAATCAAAACAACTGAGAAAAAATGGAAGTAAAAAATATAACAAAAGTAAAAAAGAAGGGAAAGCCCTGAAGAAAGTCTGACCAGGAGGATGGAAGGGAAAGGGCCAAGGTTCCTAACTGGTGCTGAGGGAACAGAGTGCTAAAAAGGGAAGACTGGGTTACTGCTGCTTACTGGGGATCCTGTGTTTGAGGGGGCATCAGATCAGACTGCCCCAAGAAGCTCAGGAGGTGTCAGCACACCTGACGGTACAGAATCCTCCCAGCTGTTGGGGAGATGCTGCGGCAGCCCCCAAAATCCACCCTCTCTCCGTGGCAGACATTTTATTTTAATTGCCAGCCACGTGATTAGAAATCTGTGTGTTTAGGCTAAGTTTTTTTTGTGTTTTGGTTTTTTTTAATGTTTTTTAAGTAGCACTGATGATTCAAGGGGTCCATATTTTATGTCCCTGCGTTGGGTGCGTCTGGTTTTCTGCTTGGCCTGTGTGCTTGCTCTGCGGGAGGCAGGATGGCGGTGTGGGGTGAAGGGCCCGAGCGGAGGCCCAGTAGACCTGCTCTGAGGCCACTGCCTCTTCCTGGCAAGTTTCTTCATCCCCGAGGTTACATCCTCATGATTTATAATGTGGAGATAACACCACCTCCACTTGGAAAGAGTCAATTATCTGGCATCAGGTGGGCAGCAGGTAACTGGGCTCACCTGTCCCTAGGAACCCCACGTCCTCTCTAAGTCCAAGGCTCATGGATCTCCTGGACCTCTAGGAGCTTCTTGCCCATAGAAACCCAGCTTGCATTTCTAGCCCAAGTGAACGCCGCTGCAGGCGGGCAGACAGAGCTGTTCCCTGACGGTAGCTGCTCCTGGTCCTTCTGTGTCCAGTCTCAGGACTCTACCCCGTGGTGCCTCCTCCCCTCAGCTCTCCCTGTAACTAATATAACCGCAACTGAGATTAGGGTTGGTTTGTTCGTTGCTGCCAGGACTAACCCTACAGTTGAAATGCAAAAGTAGCTGCCGTCTGCAGATTTTAACTGGTGCCCAGCGGGGTCCCTTAGCCAGGCCAGGCGTCCAGACACAAAGCGCCAGTGCGCCCCCTGGTGGGCGTCCCGAGAGGCCTAACTTTGCTTCTCGCAGGGCTTGGGAGCTTGCCTCTATTCTTCCTCTTTTAATTTGGCCTTTTCCTTTTGAAAAGGAACCACATGGTTAGCCTTGTTTGAACTGGCTTAAAACGGAACGAGGGATGATGCTGTCAGCCGAGGCATTTCGTCTTTTTTTTTTTTTTTTTTGAGTGTATACTTTACATTTCTTTTCTTTCTTCTCTTCTCATAAAAGACTACTACAGCCCAGCAATGCTGGGTCTGAAAACAGACCAGGAAGTGCTCGGTGAGCTTGTGAGAATGAAGATTCCAGCAGTGGCGGAGCTGATGGAGGGGCACGGTGTCCTATGGACCTTGGTGGTGTCCCGCTGGTTTATTTGCTTGTTCATTGACATCCTGCCTGTAGAGGTAAGAGTGTATCTTCATACTCAGGGGACTTAAGTGGCAGGACTACTCTCAGATGGCACTCAAGTGACTGAGTGATTTTTCTGTTTAACATCTCTTTTCCTACAGACCGTGCTTCGAATTTGGGATTGCTTATTCAACGAAGGCTCAAAAATTATCTTCCGGGTGGTCTTAACCTTAATTAAACAACATCAGGCTTTTATTTTGGAAGCCACCAGTTTTGCAGACATTTGTGATAAGTTTAAGCAGATTACAAAAGGGAATTTTGTAACAGAATGTCACACATTTATGCAGGTGAGTGTCCGCTTTATTTCTGATGTGAGCACACGGAGGGGAAAAGGCTGTGGTGTCTGCTATGCTTAGAAGCCATACCAGGCTTAGAGAGAGTTTTGCTTCACTCTGCTGCATTCCTGTTTGGTCGGCACTGTATTTAACGGAGTCCCTGGATGGTGCCAACAGTTAACTCCCTTGGCTGCTACCTGAAAGGTTGGAGGTTTAAGTCCACCCAGAGGTGCCTGGGAAGAAAAGCCTGGCAATCCACTTCTGAAAACTCAGCCACTGAAAAGGCTGTAGAGCACAGTTCTTCTCTGACACACAGCTGGCTACCTCACGGGTGGCGTGCCCTACTTTCGCACCTGCCTGTCTTGCTCTGCCTGAGCAGTGGGTTCCCCACGCTGTCCTTTGGCTGTTCGCCTCACTGTCCTCCCCTGTCAGGCAGCCCTCTAGGAGGGGCTGCAGCCCTCCCCAGCCTTGTGTTCTCAGAGCCCTGGGGACAGCTGACAAGCCTCTGAGTCCTTGCTGGAATTCCCTTGACTGCTTTCACGTGAGCCTCCAACCAGAGTGACCTGCCCTGAGGCAGGTTGGCTGCAGATCACCACTCAGATCGCCCCTCATCCCACCAAGGGTACTGCTGCCTCCTCTGAACACCTGTAGAGCCGGTTCAGGGTTCAGGGTTCACCAGAGGGCGGGCTGGAGGCAGCGAGAGCCAAGAGCCAAGAGCACAGTCCTGGCACTTTGCTCCTAAAAGGCCTGGGGTAGAGGGGAAGAAGTTGAGGGTTTAGAGTCAAGGAAACGTGTGGATTTTTAATTTATCCATGCTCTAGTTTCTCATAGGAATCTCTGGGTGGTGCAGACAGTTAATGCACTGGGTTGCTAACTGAAAGGTTGGAGGTTTGAGTCCACCCAGAGGTGCTTTGGAAGAAAGACCTGGTGATCTGCTCCTGAAACATCAGCCGTTGAAAACCCTGTGGAGCACAGTTCTACTCTAACGCACTTGGCGTCACCACAAGTCAGAGTTGACTCAATGTCAACTGGTTTTAGTTTCTCACAGGGACCTGGGAGTTAGCAGTATTGTACGATTAGAGGCTCAGGGCCTTTGCTTCTGCTATTCTCTCTGTCTAGTGCTCTTCCCCCAGCTCCTCAGGTAGCTGCTGCCTCAGGATTCTGGTCTCAGAGAGGACTTTCCTAGTTACCCTGTCTAAATTAGTTTCCCTCTTTTCTTCTCTACCCTGGACCCCAGTTTATTTCCTTCCTAATAGAATTGTACTTGTCTGTCATCTGTCCCTGCGTGGCACAGATGGTTAAGCACTAGACTACTAGCCAAAAGGTTGGTGGTTCAAACTCACCCAGAGGTGCCTCAGAAGACAGGCCTGGTGATCTGCTTCCAAAAAGGTCACAACCTTGAAAACCCTGTTCTATTCTGCACACACGGGGCCACCATGATTTGGAATTGATTCCACAGCAAGGGATTTGGTTTGTTATCTGCACTCCCTGAGGGTAGGGACCTCCCTGTTGAGTGATATTCAGAGAATGTTGCTGAATGACTCAGCATTCAACAGGCCCGAGAAGGGGAAGATTTTAAATGGAATAATGGGGAGAAGGTGAGGGTATCCGTGTGCAAAGTACAACGCTGAAATAACTTCGTAAAAATTTGAATGCTAGCGCCTAGGGATCTTAATCTAGAATGCAGTGCATGGCCTATTTTTTTCTTTTTCTTTTGAAATAATTATAGATTCAAAGAAGTAACAGAAATGGTACACAGAGATCCCATGTCCCCTTTACCCACTTTCTCCCAGTGATAACATCTTACATTGGCCGGGTTTTTTTAGATGCCTAAGGGCGATCCTCCCAAACTCCTACAGAGGTAGCCAAGCCTCCTAATTGGGAGGGCAGCTTTGATAGAAAACAGCAAAAGCTGTTAGAGAAGTAAGGAGGAGGCTTTCTGGTATTTTGGGGCCCTGGTGGCTCAGTGGTTAAGAGCTACAGCTGCTAACCAAAAGGCTGACCGTTCAAATCCACCCGTCACTCCTCGGAAACCCTATGGGGGCAGTTCTACTCTGTCCTATAAGTTCGCTATGAGTTGGAATGGGGTTTTCGGGGGTTTTTCTGGTAGTTGGGACTGTCTTCCTTTATAAAGGATGCTTTGCCAGAGAATACTTGACTTAAGCTCCCTTTAAGGGGCTGAAGGACTGACAAATGAAAAGTGTCATTTCGCTTTCTCCATGGTTGCTCTGGAATGTAAAACTAGAGCAAGTGTGTGGAAGTTACAGGGAAGCAGCCTTGGCACAGTGTGGGAAAAACCCTTCTGACATGAGGGTTGTATTCATCTGTGGGCTAAACTACAGGGAGGTGGGCGCCTTGCTCACACAGGCCTCACCTAGAAGCTGGGTGATCACCTGTCACCTTGCCAGGAGGGGATTCTGCAGTTACCTGAGAACATGGTACAGCCTTCTCTGCTGTTCTCTGAAAGGAAGGCAGGCGTGGGCAGTGAGTGTTGATATTTTGGCTTGTTCCAAGTGGTGCTTCCCAGCCAGTGGTTTCAATAAATAGGTGATCGTGATGACTGATGAAGAATGTCTAATATAAATCTGTAAATAATGAGATGGCAATTAAATCATGATTCATTTGGGGATGGGGGTTGTAGAGTAAAATTAGAACTAATCACCAATGACATAATGATTCATCTTGAAGATGGTAAGTTCTCCATCCCTGGAAGTCTTTAAACAGAGGCTGAAGAGAATTTTATAGAGGAGATTCAAGCAGCAAATGGCAGCGGAGCATGAGCATTGAATTCAGACAGAATCAGTTGCTAGTTAGCCATGACTTCTGGCAAGTCTCATAGCCTCTTTGAGCCCCAGTTTCCCCATTTATTAAATGGATAATTACAGTTTGCACATCCTAGAGTTTAGTTTTGAATGGGGTTATTTATGTCAGTGTTTAGCAGTCCCTAGCTAATAGTAAGTGCACAGAAAATGCTCAGTTGTTAAGTGTAGCAGGCCGTTAGGCAGTTGACCTCACTAGAGCAGATGTCAGGAGTTGAAGACAGCTGGACTGAAAGAGAAACTAGAACAGGTGGCGTGGGGCCAAGGTGCAGACTTGGATGACCTTAGAAAAGACTCGCTCATCCAATTTCAGATGGCTTGGAGCTGGAAAGGAGAGTGAATATACTGCCTATCAGAATCAAGCTCGAAAAGGACTGAATAAGATAAAATCTAACAGAGATAACTGTCAACTCCTGGATCCTTGATGTGCTCAAGTATAGATAATGTGGCGGGTACAGCAGGTTAAAAAAAAAAAGAACAAAAATTAGGGGGTTTTGTCATTAGTTAAACTCAGTATAGCTTACTAGTATGGCGTGATCAGAACAGTAGGAGAGGTGTGGCACTGGAAACGAGAGAAATCAGTGCTGCTCTGCTGGAATGCAGGATTCGGTTCTTGTAGTGACTCTTGAAGGAGCCTTTGTGGCACAGTGGTTATCCCCTAACCGAAAGATCAGTGGCTCGAACCTAACAGCAGCTCCACAGGAGAAAGGACCTGGCGATCTGCTCCCATAAAGATTATAGCTTTGGAAACCCTACGGGGCAGTTCTACTCTGTCATATATGGTCATTATGAGTCGGAATCAACTCGACAGCACACAACAACAACGGTGACTCCTGAAAGAGGATATGACTGAGTTGATGATTTCAAAGAGGATCATCAGGATATAGTGAAGGGCCTGTGTCTTAGTTATCTAGTGCTACTATAACAAATATCACAAGTGGATGACTTTAACAAACAGAAATCTATTCTCTCACAGCTTGCTAGGCTAGAAATCCAAATTCAGGGAGCCATCTCCAGGGGAAGGCTTTCTCTCTCTGTCAGCTCTGGGGGAAGGTCCTTGTCATCAATCTTCCCCTGGTCTAGGAGCTTCTTAGCACAGGGGCCCTGGTTCCAAAGGATGTGCTCAGCTCCTGGCTCTTCTTGCTTGATGGTAATGAGGTCCCTCTCCTCTCTCCTTCATCCTCTCTTTTATATCTCAGAAGAGATTGACTCAGAATACCACCTAATCTTATAGATTGTGTCCTGCTTCATTAACATAACTGCCTCTAATCCTGCCTCATTAACATCATATATTTACAACACATAGGAAAATCACATCAGATCACAAAATGGAGGACAACCACACAATACTGGGAATCATGGCCTAGCCGAGTTGACACATATTTTGCGGGGACACAGTTCAGTCCGTGAGAGCCTGTATGGCATCTGTCTGTGTGTCTTCTGCCATCAACTCTAACTATCCTCTTTGACACCAGCTGCAAACGCAGGTCTTCCTCGGATGCTAACCTCTTGGAGCCAGGTCAGACCTCCAAGTTAAAGGGCACAGTCCTCCAGACTGCCAAGTCTGCCCAAGACTTCAGATGCCAGCTACAAGCTTGGGTGTCCCCATAACACCCTCACTTCTGACGTGCTGGCTACAAATTTAGAGGTTCCTACTACTCCCTTGGGTTTGATTATTCACTGGAATGACTCACAGAATTCAGGAAGGCACTGTGCTTACAATTATATGTCACTATAGCAAAAAGGATATAAATTAGGACCAGGATACAGAAGATTCATAGGGTGAGCTCTGAGAGGGTCCCTAACATGGAGCTTCCGTACCCTAAAGGATGCATCAATGTCTGTCACCTCCCAGGAAGCTTATCCAAGCTTCAGCATCCAGAGTTTTTATCCAAGTTTCATTACATAGGTGTGATTGATTGAATCATTGTCAGTGCAGTTGAACTCAGCCTCCAGCCTCCCTCTCCCCCTTGAGTCTTTCTGGTATGGCCATCCCCACCCAACTTGAGTCACCTCATTAACATAACCTATCAAGGTGTGATCTGGAGCCCCTCCAGAAATAACGGAGGCTCCAGTAACTGGGTAAATCTCAAGGCTTTAGAGAGTACCTCCCAGGAGCCAGGGACAAAGACAGAATTCTTTGAGTAAAGTTAATTGTACACCCCACAGCCTCAAAACCATGACTTGTCAAGA